TCTTGCACGCCTCGACCTCGTGAGTGGGGTCTGGCCGGAGAAACAATGGCTCTTCTTTGTAGAAACAACTCTCCCGCAGAGGTGGTATGGTAATCGCTAATATGTGGTGCATAGCCGGCTTACACGCATGGTTTTACTTAATCTCCATAACAGTTCTTTGAAGTAGATTGTGTCCATTTTAGAGAGAAAGAAATTGTCTCAGAGACTGTGACGAGCCCTTGGGTCACACATGGCAAACTCTTCCCGTGAATAGGAGGCCCAGAGCCCGGGACTTATCCCCAGGAACAGTTACTCCTGTAAAGAATTCTCTTGTGAGTCCATCACAGTAACTCTGGTGTCTCGTTTCACGTATGTCCAAACATGCATATCTATGAGATGAGCTCTGTTTTCCACCCTTTTGATGTTCTAAAAATAATCTCTGGTTATCGCTGAAACTGACCTTGTCCATTCTGTCCTAATGCATTGGTTATTGAAATTGTGGTGAAACTAAGAAAAATTCCTTGGCTTCTTGTCGCAGCTTTTCTCTTAAATATTTGTAAGAATTTAGTAAGCCTTATTTGCAGTTACTGTATGTCTCCTGTGTCTTTGTGGAGCATGTTAGATCCAGTTTTCCTCTCTTTCACCATAGAGAAGCCCTGTGGCTTAAAGCCTGGTCACTTGCCCAGTCACACAGTCAGAACTGAAACCCTCCCATTACGTGGGTCCATAACTTCCTGTCTGTACTACTCTAACCTGGGTTGGTGGACCAGTGCTCACTCCAGTAACATGATGCTTTTAAAAACACTGGTTTACTGTGAGGGTAGCTTATTTGAAGCAAGTATATATTTAACGTCTACTTAAATACAGGTGTTCTAGAAGAAATACAAAAGTGAACACAAGACACGGTTCTGCTTTCAGAATATTTGAGTCCTCAGAGAAAGATGACAGCTGCTCAAAGAATTCTAACCCAGAGATTAACACTGTACCTGACCTTGCCATTGATAGGAACACAGTTGCATTCTACTTGACCATGTGACTTTGAGCAAATTATTTAAATAAGGGAAGTAATTTTACCTGCTTGACAGCATATTTTGAAGATGCAATGAATTACTAGTCTTAGAGTAGGGTCTGAAATATGGTGGCCACTAATGTTAGTGGCTGTGCTTTCCTCACAGGTGGTACCATTATGCATCTTCTACTTGACTTTGTCCTGGCTGCTTCATAGTCCCTGGATGGCCTGTCTGCTCTCATGCTCCAGGCAGATGTTGTAGGCCTTTATCTCAGCTTGACAAACATCTTTTCAGTACTCTCTTAGAGACTGAGCACATTTGGCTTTGAATAGTTCTTTGTATACATGACTCACTAGTTGCCAAAGAGTCTAAAAAGGACATTGCATGCACTGTGAAGCTTACTGGAAACAGAGTGGGGATGGGACAAGCAGAGCCAAAATGTACACTGCAGAAATGGAGTCTCTGAGGAAGACTTCGCACAGGAAGTGTGACCCTGACCTCCGGAAGACCAGTCAGTCACTGAACAAGTCCAGTGTGGGCCGGTACCCATATGCCACAGGGTCCAATCTAAAGACAAGATACATGGAATTTGGCAATGAAAGAAAAAATAGAATTGCTTTGACTGTCCAGTGCTCATGATTCCCACCTCCCTTGCAGGAATGCATGTGTGTGTCCACATCTCAGTCCTCTGGACTTGGAGCAGTTGGTTCCCTCACCCCTACTTTTACGGGCGAGCCAAGGACCTGTCCCTGCCCAATGAGCCAGCCTCAGGTTAGGCACATGAATCAGGTCCAGACCATCGGGTCCAGGTAGAACTAAAGTTCTTGCTGAACTGGGGACTTCCCATTGTGAACTTCTTCTGGGCATGGAGCCACACAGAACATTGAGAAGAGCAAAATACCAAAGATGAGCTCCTTAGGGCATGGCATGAGCCTTGGACTTTGCTGGGGTTTTATTTGGTTTGGAGTTTTGTTTTAAACTATCTTGAGTTGGGCTTTCAGGTATTTCATCTTACCCGATACAGGCCTTCATCCAGTCAAAACCAATGCTCATCCCTGGAAATACGGTGTAATTAAAACCTGTTTCTATCCTCAGAATTAGGCATCTGCTTGAAGAGGTAAAGACTTACGTACTTAGGAAGCATGTTCAGGAGTGAGGTAGGAATACTGTAGGAAGTTGGTTTAGTACATCTAGCACCAGTTTCAGCATTTAGAAATATTGATGTTCTCCCTAGACAGCTTACCACACTTGAGCCAGTGAGAAGTGAGCAGAGTTTACCTCCTGCTTTCACCTTTGCAGAAAGGCTGGTTGTAGTTCTGGAAGTGTCAGTAGTCTGATCATTGGCTGGGATTCAGGATCCAAGCTCCACACTAGCAGGAAGATGCCAGCTAAACAACTTAGCGAGAGCCGAGACCAGATTCAGAGTAGCCTCAAAACAGATTTGGTGGCACAAAAGCATCAGGACAGTCTTTCCATTAGACATGGGGATGTTCAAAAGGTCCTCAAGCAGAAGGCCTGGGGATATGGCAAGGGAAAGAAGAGGGAAAGTCCTATGAATACCATGTCCCACCCTTCAATGCAGTGCCAATGAGGGTTAGGGATAGGGCATGCTCAGGACTCTGAGACTAGAGTACAAAATGGTAGGATGTTTGCCTTGTAGAGATACAGTTCTGACTTTGCCGGCAGAATATGTTCTGTTTATAAGGTATAGTCCCATCACTGAAACCTCTTGTGAAGGTAACACGGGTGTAGTCCAGAGGAAGGGAGGACTGGGACATACACTTGGGTTTATTGTGATCCCAAACTACTAGTCCTGGACTCTGTATCCAAGCAGGAGATGCTTTTGCCTAGCCTTGTCCTTCCTCACAGTGTCTTAACGCCTAGCAAATAGGATTTTTGTAGGGCCCAACTTCAGGCCCTTAAACCTAGCCATATTTCACCACTATTAGCTCTGCTGTAATACTACGTTATTAGGTTATTGGCGATTTATCTCTGCATTCCAGTCTTCAGCATTGTATCTGCAGATCTAATGTGCCAGTTGATACATTGTAATCCCTTAAGTAAACAGTTTTAGTTAAAAGGAGCCATGAGCTAAAATATTCTCACATACTACTTTGATTTATGTCTTTCCCCGAAAAGGAATTAGGTGCATGTTTATTTGAGATACATTCTGAGAAACTAAAACAATGGCTTGGAAACAGTGGAAAGCAGATATGGTACAATGTTGAGCTCTTACTAGCGTGGACAGCTGAGGCTCTAGTCTCACATGCTTGAGATAGACAATACACGCAAAATTGTCTGTCTGAGGCCAAATGTAACATTGATAACTTCCTTACCTTTTGGTAAAAGACTTACCCTGGAGATATTAAGTACCTGCATACTACTCTGCACGAGGCTAAGAGATGTGGGTGCCTCCGGTAGGAAGCCAGTGTGTATGAAAAGTGTCTACTTGCATCTAAAATCAGACAAACTGTGAGGATGGAGTGTGGGTTACCAACAGTACAGTACAGATACGTGGGAAGTGACACAGACATTACAGCGGCAATCCCACCACATAAAACATGTGTGCTACCCTGAAGGTATAGAACTGCTTCTGCTTTTTCGAGACAGGGTTTCTCTGTGTAGCTTTGGAGCCTATCCTGGCACTCGCTCTGGAGACCAGGCTGGCCTCGAACTCACAGAGATCCGCCTGCCTCTGCCTCCCGAGTGCTGGGATTAAAGGCGTGCGCCACCAATACCCGGCTAGAACCTGCTTCTTTACAGAGCTGGGAAACACCTACAGTTTGCACACTGAAGGCCTAGAGAACAGCAAAGGCTTTCCTATAAGCCTGAGAAGCAGGACAGCAGCAGGTTGTTTCCCATCCACAGTCCAATAGGCTGGCTGGAGACATAGAAAGAGCTAATGTCTCTGCTCTACACAAAGGGAGGTAGAATTAATTGATGCCCTTTCAGAGGTGCTTAGACAGGAGATCTCGCTTATCTAGAGGACTGTCTGTTCTACCCAGGCCTCCCACAGTGGACAAACCCCAACTAACTACATCAAGAAGGCAACTTGTTTTCATTAATATACGTGTCATATTCATCCCAAAGCACATTCTCACAAAAACATCCACAAGGACATTTGGCCAATATCCTGGAACCCTTGATCCTTGTCAAGTTGGCATATAAAATCAACCATCACATACAGAGTTTGGCAACCCAACAAAAACAGACGTAAAATTAAACATTTTTGAGACAGTTGGCAAATTCTAATTGCTGACTAAATATTAAGCAAAATTAAGAATGATTTACTGGAGGTTCCTCAAAAGGAAAAAAAAAAACTAAAAATAGAACTGCCATATGATCCTTCTATACCACTTCTGAGTATTTAGCCAAAGGATTCTAAGTCAGTATACCAATGAGATATTGACACATCCCTCTCATAACCTAAGAGCCTACTGGCCTTAGTTTATTGCACTGTATCTTAGTTTCCTATACCCACAGCCTTTTAAATAGACCCTCCTAAAATGGTCCTGCTTTGAATATATCTTCTGTTTCCTATTGCTACCTTGATTTACATGCTGCAAGGAACTCTGAGTATGCATACACAAGGACGTCCTTTCTTCTCTGAATATACGTACTGGGTTATTTATGAATTAGAGAAAACCTGCCATTTACTTGAAAAACAATCCAACTTGGGCTTAAATTAATAGTTACAACTAAGTGACAGGAACATGGGTGTTCATTAAGGAGTTCTAAGTTCAAAACAGACCTCCAAGTAAGTATGATGCAAGAGAGGAAAAGATGCTTTATTGACTTGAGAAGAAAGAAAGCTAGTGTAGCCAGGTAAGATGGATGCAGACAAAGATCAAGGAAATAGAAGCCAATAGAGGAAATGCAGGACAAGGGTCAGTTTGGACCAACACTGACATCTTCCTCTCTTACTCTACTGGCATAAGGACTGAGACTTGCTGGGTATTATTGGATGAGAAAGATTTGAACCAGGGTTGTTTAGGAATATCAGGAAATATCTGAGATAAGCAGATATGACCTGGAGAAGGACAGGGTGCTAAAGTTCAGGGAGATGGAGTCACAGAAAGGTTTTAGCACGGGGAGAAAGGAGGAAGAAAAATGCGAAAATATCTGGAAAACACTTTTGACACACTTGAGGAGACAAGTAGCTTTTATCCCATAACTTGAGAGGGATGAAGATGGAAAATCACATTGGATGTTAGAGAGGAAGATGAGTTTGAGGGCACTCACTCAGAAAATGTTTCAATGCCTCGCTGAATGTGTAAAGCCAATACATTGCTATAGAATGGCATAAAACTAGCATAACAGAAGGCTCTTACATTGTTTCATTGTCTCAGTATAATGATGTGGGCCAGAGAGATGGCTCTGCAGGTAAAGGTGATTGCCACCAAGCCTGATGATTGGAGTTCAATTCCCAGAACTTACATGGTAAATAAAGAGAAAAAACACACACACACACACACACACACACACACACACACACACACACACACACTCCAAAAATAATAAAGGATAGATGGACAGATATACATACATACATACATAGCCAATATAAAGTTTCATTGTATGACTAGAGCTGACCATCTCCTTTGTCATATACTATAAGCCAGCAAGGGTCAACTATCTCATTACATCTAAACATACTACTCATATGAAAGGGAACGATGAATACACCAGGGACAGAAGTCTTTGAGGACATTGGCCACAAACAGGCAAGGGTGAGAATTGTAGCTAGATGGAGCATTGCTGGTACAGCCTGTGAACCCCGATGAAGGCCTACAATGAGCAATCAATGGCCATACTGAAAACTTACCAGGTGACAGCCAGTCAAGTAAGGAAGGTGCTAAAACCATATCCATCTTGAAAAGTTTGCAGCAGGCAACTGGAAGTGAGAAAAGGTGAGGTTTGGGTTTTGGTTTCAACCATGATCCTGATTTTGAGCAAAGCTCAAACTTTCTACCTGTCATCCCTTAGCCATATGACAAAGGTCATCACACCTGGTGACTGCTAAAGTAACGAAAAAATATGCTGATATTTGTATCCTGTGACACCAGAACAAATAAGGAAAAGAACTATAAAATGCTCTTTTTACTTAGAAATTTAAGTTTTTTATTTGTATGGGCGTTTCACCATCATCTATGTCTGTGAACCACTTACGTTCCTGGTATCTGCAGAGACCAGTAGAGGACATCAGGTCTCATGGAACTGGGTGCTTGGGAATTGAACTTGAATCCTCTGAAAGAGCAGCAAGCTCTCTTAACCGCTGAGTCATCTCTCCAGTCCCTGTTTTCTCCAGTGTTTTTGAAGAATTCTATGACTTACCTGTTTGGGAATTGAGTTGGGATAGCCTTGCATAAAGGAAAAGACAGATGATTACCTCTTGACAGTGGGTCAGACCATAGTCACATGATCCTAAAGGCAATGACAGTGTGTCAGACTGTAGTCACGTGACTCTAAACAACAGTGTGCCAAACCATGGTCACATGATTCTTAGTCTGGCATCTCGTGGTTTAGCATTGGCATTTGCTGCTATGGTTTCTCCGCAATCTGAGTTCATTCAATGCTTTCTTTACTGCTGTCACTCTGTTAGCTTGAAGGCCCTTAAAGAAGATGGTATAGTTGGTCATTCTGAATCAGATTCTCACTCTGCTTCCGTCTCTGCTTTTGGCTTTAAGAATTTATTTCATATTCTTAAGTTCACTTAAGAGGGTAGTAGATGTATCTAGTAGAAAGATTTTGTTACAACAGATTCTATAAAAATAACTCAAGCCTGGCATTGGTGGTGAACACCTTTAATCCAAGCAGAGGTAGGTGTATCTCCGTGAGTTCAAAGCCAGCCTGGTCTACAAAGCAAGTTCCAGGACAGACAGAACTACACAGAGAAACCCTGTCTCAAAAAAACTCAAATGGGTGGGACAGACTTAAAGATTGCTAAAAATTTTATTTTAAATGGGCCTGAAGACTCCTGCTTTTAATCCCAACTGCTCAGGAGGCAAGAGGATTGAAAGCTCAAAAACCAGCCTAGGCTACAGAAGAACCTCAAGGCCATCCTGTCCAATTGGGTGAAACATTGTCTCAAAATAAATACAGCAGGGCTGGAGATGCAGCTCAGTGGTAAAAAGGCTTACCTAGAATTCATGTGGCACTGGGTTCAACCTCAGTCCTGAAAAGAAATTTTTTTAAAGTTCATTTTTATTTGGTCTGTTTTTTTAATGACCCTTGTAATGTATTTTTCATAATGTTTTCCATTTTTATTTTTTGAAGCCAGAGACAATCTGGAGGAGAATGAAGGGACCAGCTTCCCTTTTGGCAACCATAATGACCGAACACGTGCTCTATGACCTTGTCTTAGTCACTAGAAAGTCAGATGCCTGCCTCGTGACAAGGAAACAATCAGAAGTTAGCTGGTGGCGCTATGCTTTATGTCGCTGGGTGTGTTTTACAGACAAGCGCAATGACACACAAAGCATAGCAATCACCCTGGGAGGGCCTATGGGCCATAACAACCCGTTGACCAATAAACACAGGGCAAACCCTCCAAGCCTGGAGGCACACCAATCCTGAGCCTGTGCATACCCCTAGACACTCCCCTTGCGCTGCCCTATAAAGATCTGTATGCAGCGTCTTCCAACTGTCTTTGCTAGCCATCCGCCATGTTGGTTGGGTCAAAGACCCGAGCTAACATGGGGTTAGCTCATTAAACTACAATAAAGCCTCATGCAATTTGCATCAAGCTTTCGCCTCCATTCTGTGATTGGGGTGGCTGTGGTCCTGGGCTAAGATTCTGGAAGCCTTAGCTTTCCGAGGGTCTTACAAGTCAAGTTCTCTCCTTCCACCAAAGGGGCCTCTGAGGATCGAACCCAGGTCATGGGGCTTGGCAGCAATGCCATTCATTACCCAGAAGCCATCTCACTGGCCCCCAAATCGATATTTCAAGGTGCCAGGGCTTTGTGCTAGGGACTGGTAATAAGAGTAAGAAAATAATTCTTGTTACTCAAAGAGTAACCACTGATAGGACAGGTTAGAGAAGGGGATGGATGGGAAATGCTCTGATAGACACGTACATGGAATACTTTGAAAACACAAGGTGCTGATCCAGGTGTGCTCAGGAAAACTCCCAACAACTGAGAGATGCTGGCCTAAGGCCTGAAGGACCACTAGAAACCAGTCCTGTCTAGTAAACTAGTCAAGGTGGAGAACGTGCCCTCTGGGCTGAGCAAACAGTTTATTGGGATGCACTAGGATGCATGGGTTTGGCTTATACTATAAAGCTGCAAATGGTTCCATGTGCTTGGACCTTAAGAGCATGAGCAGGGAGGGACTAGAAGACAGAGTGGTAAAGCAAAGGCCAGTGTATGAGGGTTGGCCTGTCACACTGAGGAATGTAAAATGTACACTGTGGGAAGTGAAGCCAGAAGTAATTCAATCACAGTTGACCTTGAAAATGAATGTCCCGAGTTTAATGGAGGAAATAGGTTGAATATATTTCAGGATTTCAAATTGGGGAGCTGGAAGGCTAACTTAAAAGACCATTGCTTGCCCGCAGGAGGTGGCACACTCCTTTAATCCCAGCACTCAGGAGGCAGAGACGGGTGGATCTCTGTGAGTTGGAGGACAGCCTGGTCTACAAAGTGAGTCCCAGAACGACCAGGACTGTTACAGAGAAATCCTGTCTCAAAAAACAAACAAACAAACAAAAAGCCAGTGCTCTAATCCCGGAGTATTAGTCTGGGATTGGTTACTGTGACAGAAACCCCAAGGAACAGTGGTTTGTATGAGATAAAAGTTCATTCCTCAATTGGTAATCTGTGAATTAGTGATCTAAGGTTCCTTCAAGGTCATTGACTCAGGTGTGTCCCTCAGCTGCACATTCTAAGATGGCTTTCCTTATCACAGTGTGTGCATAACAGCCTAGGGCAAAGAAACACAAGAAAGGAAGACATTTTGAGTTTATGACTGGAACTCACGTCTCATTAGTCAGAACTAAGACAGTCAGTCATTGCTTAGCTGCAAGGATAGCTAGAAGAAATGATAGCAGCACAACCAGTTCAAAACCATGGTCTGTTACCAGAGGCAAAGAGCAAGTTGGATTTTCTGCGTGTCTACTTGTAGTCTGAAGTTTCTGTCCTGCCCAGTCCTGCAGCCCTTTAGTCCCAAATAAACACACAGGGGCTTATATTAATTACAAACTGTTTGGCTAATGGCTCAGGCTTCTTATTGGCTAGCTCTTTCTTAATTATTAACCCATTTCTATTAATCTATGTATCTCCATGAGGTCTTGGCTTGCCAGAAAATGCCCAGGCATCCTACCTTCCTGGTAGCTACATGGTGTCTCCCTGACTCCTCACTCTCTCTGTTCCTCTTCCCAGAATTTTCCTAGTCTGGTAGCCCTGCCTATACTTCCTGCTTGGCTATGTCCTGCCTGTCCATTGGTTGAAAGAGCTTTATTCATCAAACAATAAGAAAAACATATATTCACAGTATTCAGAAGGACATCCCTCATCAACTACTAGAAGTTTCTATTATGCTAGGAAAAGAAAAAGGCCTGACTGAAGTAGTGATGAAGGGACCAGCTCCACATTTCAGCAGCCATGACAGTAACACATGCTCGCCATAACCTTGCCTTGGTCACTTAGAGGGTCAGATGCCTGCCTCGTGACAAGGAGACAATCAGAAGTTAGCTGGTGGCGCTATGCTTTACGACCCTGGGTGTACTTTACAGACAAGCGCACAGCAATGACACACAGAGCGTAGCAACCACCCTGGGAGGGCCTATGGGCCATAACAACCAGTTGGCCAATCAACACAGGGCAAGCTCTCCAAGCCTGGAGGCACACCAATCGTGAGCCTGTGCATACCCCTCGACACTCCCCTTATGCTGCCCTACAAGATCTCTCGGCAGCCGGTTCAAGCTGTCTTTTGTAGCCAACCATCATGGTGGGTGGATGAAAGACCCGAGCTAACATGGGGTTAGCTCATTAAATTACAATAAAGCCTCATGCAGTTTGCAGTAAGCTCTCGAATCTGCATGGTGATTGGGGTGACTGAGGTCGTGGCCTGGGACCCCGGATACCTGAGTTTTCTGGGGGTCTAACAATAACAGCAACATTTACTCAGTGTTTTGGTTTGGAAATGGTTTGGTGGTCACCAAAGGTCCATGTCTCCAAGGTAGCAGTATTAGGAGGTTCTGTAGCACTCTGAAGAGATGGGAAGGCCCTGATGCCATTGAAGGCATGGAGTCTTTCTCCTACAAACCCTGAGTTCTTTACAAGATGATTGCTACAAGGCTGGGAACATAGGTCATGTGGAGAGCACCATCTTGAGATGGCAAAGCTCTGGGTTTGATCCCAATACCAAAAATATTTTTAAAAGGGGGATGATAGAGGGAAGGGCAGAAAAGGTGGCTAGCAAGATGACTCAGTAGGTAAAGGCATCTGCTGCCATGCCTGACCTGAGTTCAACCCCTGGAACCCACAAGGTGGAAGGAGAGAATGGACCTCCGCACTGGTACCATGGTATGTGCATACACATACACAGAGAAACACACAAATAAATAAATAAATGTGAAAAATTAAAGAAAAAAGAAAGGAGCCAAGTATAGTGGTGCACAGTTCTGATACTTGCACTCAGAAAGCTGAAGCAGAAGGATCTCATGCTGGAGGCTAGCCTGGGCTACACAGCAAGAACCATGTCTCAAAATCAAAAGAGGAATAAATGGGGCCCCGCCTAGCCTTCTCTGCTCTCTGACCGAGATGCAATCTTGTTTCCACCATTGTGTCCCAACATAAGGTCACACAGCCAATGGGTGGCCCGTGTCACAAAGGCTTTGCAGTGCTGATTGGACTCCAAACCTCTAGAAAAGAGAGAGACACACAGTTCCCCTTACAGTCTGTGTGCAGGATTTCTCTCAGGTAACAAAAACTGCTAGTATTACTAAGTGAAGACAAATAAAGGGAGATGGGATCTGGGGAGGAAGTAGAATACACGCTTCAGTTTCTCTCCAGGCTTGACGTGTATGTAGGACATTCAGACAGAAATAATCCAGCAGGCTGAGTTTAGAATCATTGGCTTTTCAGGGACCTTCAAAGTATGACAGCAGATGTTATTTGAGATCTGAAAGAAGACAGAAACCGTCAGCCAAGAAAAAGATGAGGACAGAAACCAGAGTTTCAAAGACACACGTGGAAAAGATATAATGAGGAGGACAGTGGGGGAAAAAGGACAAAGGAAGTAGGGGAGATTGGGAATGAGCTAAGAATGAAGTCAAGGAATAGCAGCTTTTCAGGAGGAAAAATGAGACGAGTGAGCACTGTGGAAGATACTTCCAAGGACAAACCATTAAAAAATCCAAATTCTCCAGTCATTAAAGGAAAGGAGAGAGCATTAGTTTTCATTCTATGAGGCAGCTCACCCAATTCAAAACCAGGCTCTGTTACCAGAGACAATGAGGAAGAAGGAAGTGGCCTGTACTTCCCAGACTGTGGGAATGAGTGTCCCCTTCAGGCACCTGACACAGAATAAGCTGAAGTTTATCACTTTCAGTTTTCTGCATTAGGTTTTGTTGGTTGGCTTTTGTTTTTGTGGATTGTTGTTGCTGTGGTTTGAGGTAGGTCTCATTATATAACCCTGACTGGCCTGAAGCTCACAGGGGTTCACTTGTCTCTGTCTCCTGGGAGCTAGTATTAAAAGAGGCACCACCATTAATATTTCAATCCACTTGGTAACGACCCATTCTCCATCTATTTTTTAGCCATTTCTTCTTCTTCTCATCCTCTTTTTTTTTTGGTCAAGCTTAGCTCAGTTTAGACCTAAGTGAAAAGCTTTATTCAGAGCGCTGTGAGCTGCCTACATCCTGTGGGTACAGTCAAGTCAGCAGACCTAGATATCACACTGACCCTCATAATCACATCAACTACTACTCATGCAGATCGGCAGAGCAGATCCCAGCCATGTCAAAAATTGCTCTCTGCTGTGTCCTGGCTCTTCCTGCATTTAGACAACGCTTTTCTGGGGATCTTCACACAGTATGTACATTTAAAAGACATTACACTTTACAAGAAGTATTTACAGCATAAGTGCTAGGCAACCATAACCAATAAGAACTTGGGGTTCAGAGTTGAGAAATTGTTACTTAGGGATTTCATCTAATATCACAAAACTTTATTTTCTTGATATGGAGAATGATAACCACATCAAAATGCAAGAGGTCTCAGCCTCATGATGTTACTCTAATATCCAAACGGTGTTCTGATGTGTTTACCACAATGCCCAGTACAGACATTT